AAAAAGAATCCTTTCCAATTATTTTCCAGAAACAAAGGAAGTCTTTTCCAAAGATGAATGATGTCTACACCAGTAAAAATAGAAAATTGTTCACAACTTTTAAAGGACATCTCACTCATTTTAAACAAATGTCTTTCCTATAGCTATCTTGTTGTATTTGGTATTGGTGTCTAAGAGAAAGAACTAGAATGAGAGATATTATTATATTATGAAGACATTTGTGATTGCAAACAGTTGTTTATGCTTACAGTTGCAGGCTTGAGAAAAAGAAGACAATTTTCAGTTATGTAATAGGAAGATCCCCAGCAACATAGTCCAATAGAAATACAACATGAACTATATATGTAACTTAAAATTTTTTGGTAGCCACATTAAATAAGCAAAAAAATAAATGAATAAAGTTACTTTCAGTAGTACAGTTTACTTAACCCAATATGTCTAAGATATATTGAAACTCGTTTAATATATTCATATCCTATATAAAGTATTTCAAAATATTTATAGTGCTCAATAACCACATGTGGCTAGTGGCCATCAGACTGAGGTGTACAGGGATAGCTGCAGGACTAGACACAGAGACTCAAATGAGGCATGGGGGTCCATTTCTTTCCTCTGATTTCTCTGTTCTTCCCTCTTTGCTCTACTCTCAAATATGCCCTGTCCTCTTAGTAGTGAAGTGGCTGTACAGCTCCAAGCAATATTTTTTCAGGTTCGGGTTCTGTATCAAAGGGTGCTTCTGTCTCTTTAACAATGGGAGAAAAATTTGGTTTTCCGTCCATTCCAAAAGCAATTCCTGGAGTGAGGAGAGAGGAATGAAGGCCCAGATCACAAGACCACCCCCACCAACCCCCAGAAATCAGTCCTCTTCAACTGCTTATGCTGAAAATAAGGACAGGGGAAGTTCCTCAGAGGAGAATCAGGTGCTGTTACCAGAAGAAGGGTGCTGGTGCTGGGAGAAAATACTGAAGCAGAAACAAAGCCAAAAATTGGAGGTCTTCTCTAGGAATCAGCAGAGCACGGATGGTTACTAAAGCCCAGGCGTCGTATAAGGTCCTTCAGCACTTCCAAATCCAAGAGGTGAGCAGAGGAAGAGGAGCGTGTGCAGGGGAAAGAGGAAGGGCCATGAAACCAATGAAAGGGAGACAGGGAGGACGTTAACCTGCAGAAGTCCAAGTCAGAAAGGGTTCAGAAGTCAGTGGCATTTAAAGTTGCTAAGAGCCATGCTAAGTACCAAGAAGTGCTCAAAAGACTGAATGAAGCATGAGCCCCTACTGACCCAGGCAAGCACAGATTTGGTGGAGGGATTCGATAGGTTGAGAGTTAGGTCCAGGAGGAGGTAAGGAAGCAAAATCAGGTTGAGAAAACTCTTCCAAGAGATTGGAGTGAGGAAAAAAGAGAAAGAGAGAAAAATCTAGGACGGTAGCCTGAGGGGGTCATTGTGTTAAGGAAGAGTTTATTAAATACCTTATTATTCAAGCATAAACATTGTGATAGTAAACTCAAAAAATATGCAGTTGAGTGCAAAGCTGGGTTGGAATTCCTCAGTGACTAACTATACTACCTTTAGCAAGCTACTTGGCTTCTCTGCCTTGGTTTTCTCATTTGTAAATTGGAAGTAATTGTGGTGATTTAACAGGATCACCAGCTATATGAGATAATGAACAAATATAAAAGTATTCATCCAAGTTGTGCTTTTAAATTTTTTTCACAATACCTTTGTTCTATTTATTTATTTTTATGTGGTACTGAGGATCAAACCTAGGGCCTCTCATGTGCTAGGCAAGCGCTCTACTGCTGAGCTATAGCCCCAGCCCAGTGAATGTATTATTGCTCTCCTTCTTCCCTAGTGACTGGTGAACAAACCACACTGTTTCTTATTTCTCTGCTTTCATATTTCTCTTGGAATGTTTCCTCCCCATACCATCAGCCTGGTGATCTCTCCTGTAACATCTAAACAAAAGCAACTGTCCTGTTGCTGGTCACTTCCTCCTGCCCTTTAGAGCTCTTGCCAAAGATGAAGTCAGGCTTTGCCACCCTGGTTCTCCATTGCCCTGAATCCACTGCTGCCTGCTCACCTGCACCGCTTATCTCTGACATGGATCTGTGCTGTTTCCCACCAGAAAGGCCAGTTCCTGTACTGAAGAAGATGTACCATCTTAGATAGTTTAAGTCTTTCTGTCTGTAATTCTATGAATTCAGTCTTGGAATAAGTAGTTCTCTTCTGAACCATGCTGAGAGACTGCATCATCTGCATTTCTCTTTGAGCTTTTGGTGTTCCTTGGGTGACGGAGTAATTCTTTGCAACACTGAAAAGCTGGAGGTGCAGCTCTCTGTTGCTGCCTTCCAGTGACAAATGTGTTCTGCCCATGCCTTGGGCAAATGCTTCCTCCAAAATTTCACCTCCTCCTACAGAACTCCAGCCATGGAGCTGGATAAGGAATTGTATGGACGGAAAGCCAAGTTGTGCTTCTCCCTTCCAGATTCCGCAGCAATTTGCTCCTCTGTGGTCATATCTGTAACCCAGGCTGAGTCTTTTCTGTACATTCCATGATCACTTTGTTTCTGCAGCTGGGTCTGCTTGCTGTATTCTTAGGTTTTGTTGCTTAACTCTTTCCTGCCGTCTTGCATGTGATGACCATGATTCATTGTTATAAGAGAGGTCTAACAAGGTCAAGAAAGACTCTAACTTTGTATTTCGTGTAATGTCTTTGTGTTTTCCTTCTTTCCATATAGCCTGATTTTTTACATCTATTTAAATAGAAGAATAAAAGTCTGATGTGTTTATACACTTGGAGTTTCTCCATCCATCCCTCCCACTTGGGACAAAACTAAGTGTGAATTTTTCGCCGAGCTCCCATTCCCTAGAAGCTGGAGTGCAGATTGGAGCAGAGGGTTAAATCCTGGCAATTAATAACTTTCACTTTTGCAACGATTGCAGCTCTGGAGTGGCTTGTTCAGTAGCTGTAGATTACAGCAGTTCTATAGAGAATGGGGTTGAGATGTTACTATTTTGATGATTATTTCAAAATTCTGCCACTGAGAGATCATTGCTTAGAAACTGTGGAAAGAAATGGATAAATAGAAGAAAGGATAGATAGAAAGGTAGATGGAAAGAGAAAACATAGAACACATTTCCAAGACCTGGAATATATTTCCAAGACTATTTTTCTATTTAAATGTGTTTATTTCCTGATAAGCCCTTCTTTGCATTCTGGAAGTCTCCTGGCTGCTGATGAGGCAGAGTCCGGAGTGCACAGCATGGAGTCTGGAGTGTAGCAAGAGCATAATAAATGCTTATCCAGGGGACTACTGCTCCATTTGGCCTGCTCAAGCTAGAGCCAGCTCCTCTGTGCTCTGTCCTTGTCAACAGACTTTCCCAACCACTGAGGCAAACCAGAGAAGGCTGATGGATTTCACCCAAAGTTGTTAATCTGTTAACAATTGGCTGTAAAAGTATGCGTATGGAAACAAACAGGAAAACTAAAAACCAGATTTGCAGTTGCAGTGTAAAGATATAATTGTCATGCGTTAGCAAAAAGAAAGGCCTCTCACAGATTGCAAATGTTATTTTAATACATAAGGAAAATGCACTGGGTTTAATGAATGTGCTGTGACCATCAGCAAAACGGAATTTCAGATTTGAATCACTAAACCTATTTTTTTTTTTTTTTTGGTCATTGCTGCTATTCTTTTTCATCTCATCTTCTCCTCCTTTTTTTTTTTTTAATTTTAATCATGGGGTCCTGACAAATTGATCATGTATTTACACCTCTTACTCATTATGGGACCTTGGGTCATTTACTTAACTCTCTATGTCTTGAGTTCCTCATTTGTAAAATGCACATAAAAAAATCTACATTAGTTGGATGACTGGATGGGATAATGTGTTCAGAATATCCTCTGTAGCGCCAGGAACACAGAACAGGTATTAACAGCAGGACTTTCTGCCACAGCTGCTGCTGCTGCAACTGCTTGGTAGTTGATCAGGGTTCCCTGGAGACACAGAACCAATAGGATGTGTGTGTGTGTGTGTGTGTGTCTCCCCCCCCCCCCTCTACACACACACACACACACACAGAGAGAGAGAGAGAGAGAGAGAGAGAGAGAGAGAGAGAGAGAGAGAGAGATTATAGAATTGCTCCTGATTATAGAGGAAAGCAAGTTTGTCATTTGCAGGGTGGGTCAGCAGGCTCAAGACCCAGGACAAGCCTATGTTACAATTCAAGTTTAAGCCCATCTGCTGCACAATTCAGTCCTTTGTTCTATTCAGGCTTTCAACTGATTGGATGAGGCCCACCCACATTATGAAAGCCAATCTGTTTTACTCAAAATCCATTAATATGAATGTTGATCTCATCCAAGAGCACCCTCACAGAAACGTCTGTAATAATTTTGATCATGTAACAGGGCACCGTGGCCCAGCCACATCAATATATAAAATTAACCATCCCAGTCCTGTTTTCTTTATTCTCCAATACTATATCAGAGGACAATAGCCTTTGACAGTTCTCTCTTTTTCTACTTTTGTTTCCTCCTGAAGAATTTATGGGCAGTAGCAAGAATGTTTATAAGATAAAATCTAGATCCCTTCTCTCACGTGCTTAAATCCCTTAATGACCTCCTACTGCACTTAGAATAAGTGCCAGCTCCTTATCAGAGCTAATAAGGCAGTGCTTTGCCTGGCCTTCTCTGACCTCACTTTCCCAGAACCTCCTGCTGTGATGCTAGATGCTGTGGTCGACCAAGCCTGAAGTGCCAGTGTTTCATACAAGGAGGGGTGTATATCCTACTCACACTGGTAGGCAGCCTCTGACTGACATAGCTCTCCAAAGTCCCTGCCTTCTAGTATCAACCCTTTCCCTTGAAAGTGGACTAGATCAAGTGACTTGCTTCAAGCGAGCACAATATGGTAGGAGTGATGGGATGTCATTTCCAGGATTACATTACAAAAGATGGTGACTTCCATCTTGATAGAACTCTCTCTGTGGTTCCTCATGCAGGCTTGCTCTTTGACAAGGGACAAAGCAGCTTCTGGTCACCCGAGGAAAACACAGAGGCCTGACATCTAACAGCCCTGGAGAAACTGAGTCTTGCCAACAACCACAGGAATGGGCTTGGAAGCAGACCCTTCCCCAGTCAAGACTTCAGATGAGGCCACAGCCTCAGGCTGATCCTTGATTCAAGCCTATTGAGAGACCTTTAAGCAGGAATTGGACTATGATGTGCTCAATTTCTGACTCTCATAACTGTGAGATAATAAATGTGTGTTGTTTTTAGCCCTAAGTTTGAGAGTAACCTGTGACACAGTGGTAGACTGGCAGATAACTGATGGAGGAACTCTGCTTCATGCCAACATTTAGGAACCCAGACTGATGGAGATTCTATTGTTTTCATCGAATGACTTCAAGGTCCTTTGGTGTCAGCATCCAGGCAGCAGTTGGGGGATGAGAAACAGTGGAGGACCAAGTGTGATGAGGAGGCTAGCCTGAGAGACGCAGGTTCCCTTTAGTCACACTAAGTCGCATGCTCTCTCTTATCTAGGTGAAATGTAGCCAGCCGCTGGCTGGGCATCCACTTCCCATCCACAAGTCAATAATGTAGGAGGAAGACTTTGGTAAAGAGAGAGTGGATCTCAGCCACAGCCCTGCACCTTCTTTTGCTCAGTTTTATGAAGAGGACAAGCTCCATCCTTCTCTGAGGGTCTCTATTCTTCCTTGTGCATGAAATGCTTGCCCCAGATGGTTAGCTCCCTCAATCTTACAAATCTTAGTTTAAATGTCATTTCTCTCCTTTGGGCAAGATTTCCTGAGTACTCTACTTAGAATAAGCACCACACTCTAGTATATTCTCTCAGCCCTTTATCTCCATTGTAGAACTTATCCCAAGTTGTGATTATCATATAAGACAGTTCACTTGTTTTTAGCCATCTTCTGTGCTCAGGTGTTAGCTCCATGAAGGCAGAGATCCTGTTGCTGTGGTTCACCCCTGGATAGTACAGCACCTGACATTGTTGTTGTTGAGGAAATGAATGAGGTGCCACATTCCTAGATGATCATCTGATATAATCACGTTAAAGTGTTCTCTTCTCAGTTCCTCTCAGAGAAACCCCTTGACAAACTGGTAGGGGTTGGAGGTCATTTCTTGGAAGCGTCAAAAACTATGAGAAATTCTCAGTGGGAGGACTAATAACAGATGGGAAGTTGTTTGCTATGTACATTGCAATGTGACCCAGAAGTCCCCAGGACCTATAAAGCTTCAGTAGGATCCATCCGAATCACATGCACTCTATGAGAGTGGAGTGGCATAGATGTGGGAGTGGGTGTGGGTGTGGGTATAAAGTCATTCAAAAGTGGGAAGGAGCTGCCTTTTGCATTTGCACTGACTCATTTCAGACTGGACAGAACAGGTACAGAAGTGGGAGTCCAAAGGCCAGATCATCTTGAGAATTTAAATCCCTAGGAATTCACTGGAAGCTTTGTTAAGAATTTCATCCTTCCCAAGGGACGTGGAAGAGTTTAAGTTTTTCCATATTGAGCATTAAGTGTGAATGCCAACCAACATGTCTCCCATCAACCTTCTGGCTTTCTTGTTAGACGTGAGGGAGCTAACCATCTGGGGCAAGCATTTCATGCACAAGGAAGAACGGAGACCCTCAGAGAAGGATGGAGCTTGTCCCCTTCATAAAACTGAGAAAAAGAAGGTGCAGGGCTGTGGCTGATACTCAACAGGGGAAGACAATCCCAGCTGTGTTCCCATACGGGTAAGATCAGGTAACTGGTTCAGGCCAGTGGAACATGGCATATCCCACAGCCCACTCTGTACTGGGCATGGCATGTTAAAAGCTCTCCCCTGCATTCTCCTACTTTTCTCTTCTCCATTTACCAGCTAGAAGTTCATGTCCAGGGTGACCTCAGAATCTATAGGGTGAAGATGGCCATGTCTCTGGGATCTGAGGCTCCTGGGTGTCTGAGTGACAGAGGATTTCAGGTGAAGGTCAGAAAATGTCTTCATAAAAGATAAGAAAAGTAAATGCTCAATCATAACTGTGTTCTTTGTATTTCCTTATGTGCTTGGGGAAGATGGACAAGGTACACTGTCTATAAAAAACATAGACATGTCAAGCACTTGGCAAATGCTGCCTCAAGAGCCTTTGGAATTAAGGGTGGGCTGATTTACTGTATATTCCCAATGGATCAACTCATTGTTAAACAAACCATTTCCAGTGATCTTTCTAGGATCACTCAGCTGGTGGGAACTCTGTGACAGTTCAGTCGGCTCTGGGAGGATACTATAGCATCCTTCACAGATAGCAATGCAATAAGGAAATGAAGAGGTGGTTTTTTTGTTTGTTTGTTTTTGTTTTTTTTAATGTGCCACCAGAAGAGACTTCTTGCATCACTTTGGAATGGAGAATAGGTGTGGTCACTTGTTAGCCACTGTCTTTTCCCCTTATACTGAGATATTGGAAGTCTTTGCAGAGGACAGGGAAATCAGTAAGATTTACTTAGTCCCAAAACATTTAGGGATGGGATAGACAAGTGCCACACTCTTCCAGAATGGAGTTAGAGCCATGGTAGCTGTGTCAGTGTTGGTCCTTGTGAGCCAATGGGCCCTACAAACCTCAAGGTACACAACAAACACTGGCTTCCTGAGAGACCAGGGACTCTATGGGCTTTATCTTTTCCATAGAAAATCTTCTAACCTCTGGAGAAGGGATTCTATTTAATTTTGCCTCTGGACATATACACCTGGTCCAGCAATCTATGCCGTATCCTTTCATTAAATGAAACACCCTGGAGGATGCTTGGCAAAATCCTGGCCTGAGAACAGTTTTTTGGAAGCCAGAATTGTGATTTAAAGTTAAAGGAAAGAAACAGTGCTCCTCCAACTTTAGTTCCAGGAAAGCATCTGTCTTCATCACCTTCATCCAGACTAACAGTTTGTGCTTAGGAAAGACAGATGTGTCCTGGAGGTCTTTCTCCCCTCACACGACGAAGCAGGCAGTGCATCATACCTGGCTTGTGAACAAACAGAGAATAGCAGCCTCCACTTCACAAACGCATCCATTCACTCTGAGGACTTTTTCCCCTCCAGCCAAGGGAGCAAAATGCCCATTCCAGTGTATTCTGCGTGTCCCCAGGCCTTAATATATCTCGGAGCAGCTCTCCTCAGCATTCCACATTATAAAATCAATCTCTATTTAAGTAAGGGAGGATATTTATTTCTTAATTTTTTAATAATGTATTTCGTGATTTGCTATAGCTTCAGTGTTGTATTATTTATTTATTGTGCCTATAGGGTGCACTGCCACTTGGTAATAGAGGAGCCACGGAAACTTGAGACCTAAGCAGAAATGAGTTCTATAATATTGCTCTACACTCTAGGACTTTATCCAAAATTAACAGAAGAACAAAAGTGCAAGGCAATGATAACGGATCTGACAGCAGTGGGGGAGTGTTTGTGAAAGACATGGTGGACATTTTAAAAGAATGGCAGACAATGGCAAGTGAAAAATAGAGGGACTGTTTTACAATTCAGATCCATTTCATAGGCCCATAACACTGGATTTGCTGTATTCTTGCTCTGTGTGTGTGTGTGCGTGTGTGTGTGCGTGTGTGTTTATTTAATGTTTTACCAAAGAAGAAATTGTCCCAGGACACGATAGAACTTAAATATGCTTTCCCCTGTCTTCTTGCAAACCACATAGGCAAGAATCATGAGGGATGTAGCTTGGGAGGGGAATGCATTCATTTTGATCCCAAGGACTGTTGACAATTTGCTGAAAAGAAGGGAGATCTTTACATGAAAAAGAGAGTGTTTTTGTTGGTTTATTCTTTCCATTTGTGAAACAGCATAAAATGTGGCATTTACACTTAACTTTTGCCTCCCACAGTTAAAGTACTGGAAGATACCACAGTTGAAAATTCTTTAATATGCATACAAATGATGTCATAAAAATTGGGGACATTTAGATAAAATCAGTGTAGGATTGACACATTTAGCTCCAAAACTTTCTACATCTGTTAGGTATTATTCAAACACTGTTACTGGTGATAGGATTCTGATGATTGCTAATACTCTCCAGTGATTTTTTTAATTCTTTAACCTTCTCATTAGTTCTGGGGTGCATTTCAGGAAACTGATATCATGCTGATGACACCACTTGACATTAAGTGATAAATAAAGGCAGTAAAGGACACTTGTCCTAGGTGAAATGATGCCATCAGTCCGTCAGCCAGCCTGTCTATCAACAACATTTACTGAGTGCCTACTGAGAGAAGGTACCATGAGAACAGAGGCCTTGAGGGGCAGCCAGGACAATGACAGAGGCCTAGGAAAGACATGTCTATGGATTCCAGAAGATCAGCTCCTCAGGAAGGGCAGTGGAAGACGGGGTACCTCATGTTTGCCTGGCACCTCCTGCATGCAGCCCAGGAAAAGAGCCTTTTATCAGTGAGCTCCTTGGGGACTCCAGCAACCCTGTGAGGGCAGTAGCCCTAGCCTCTCCCAGTTTGTTTCCTTAGCTGTGAAATGAACTCCAATAAGCAGCCAGGAAGTGGCAAAGCTGGTGTCTGCATGGCTCATTCTACCATTCTGGAGGTCAGTGAGCACCAAAAAACCCCGCAGAGGCAGACAGCCAGGAGAAGGGACCTCAACTCCCGCTCTTGGAGATCCCTCCCTGTTCCAGGCCCATTGAGCAAATGCAAGGTTTCAAATAAAGGGAAAAGCTATGAAATTCTTGTTTCAGGATTTGGCTTAAAGAGATCACATAAGAATCACAATGTGCACATTTGGTGTTAGCACATGTTCAGTTCTGTCACATTTGAGATTTATACAGTAGAAGCAAATTCATAGCTGGATGCCTGTGTAATCTAGTAACTTCTCATGAGCACTGAGGGCACAGCCTGATGACTCTGGTCGGTGTTCCCCTAATGGACACAGTCGTGCTGTTTAGGAGTGCTTCTCTTTATTGGACTGCGAAGTATTCATTTTCAGTGTGTCCCGGGGACAGAACCCTCACAGGGTGGAGAAAGCCCATACCAGTTGTCTTGTTGAAGAGAAGCCTCTTCCTACCCTTGTGCCCCTTGGAGACTGCATCAAAGAAGGAATATTAGCTAGCTTTTGCAAGAAGATAAAAGTCATTAAAATGTTCATTATGGCCATACAAAACTGTTGAAATATTAGAAATACAGTACCAGTGAGCTGCTTGTTCAATCTTGTCAAAAGCACAAACGAACAGTTTGATTTTTTTCTTTCTCTCCTTTTCCTTAAAGGACTGATCTGGAGGTGGTGGGAGTTGGGGAAGAATGGCTGCTGTCCTCAGACAGACTCAGCCACAGGGAGCCAGGTCCTGACTCACATGTGTGGGCAGCAGAGGCCAGCAAAAGAGGACCATAATGTAGCTTTGTTGCTGGCTGGAGGATCTGGATGTAGGATGCACTTATTCTTTATTTCTCAATACAACATTTCCAATTCAATTTCTTCTACCTTAGAGGGAATAGGTGCAAATTTCAACATAATCAGGCCATTCATTCACTTAAGAAACACATGCGGATCACCTACCTTGGGTCA